TCCGCCGCGTTGCCCGCAGCCTACTCTGCCGCGCTGCTCGCAGCCTGCTCTGCCTCCACTTGGCATCGTCCCGTACTCCGCGGGCGGCGGCTGATCCCCTGCTCGTTGGGGCTCCGCGCCCCGTCTCTCTCCCTTCAGCCGCCCCGCTACCTCGGCGTGGCCGCCATTTGTTTCTCCCGTCCGGCGTGCCCCGCCCCCGCCGTTCCGCCGCAGCCGGATAAACGCCCGGCTGACGACCCGCGCCGGCACTGCCGGCGCATGGGGTTTTCTCGGCTCCTCCGGCCCTGCGGGAGGTAAGCAGACCCCTTGGCCACCGCGGGGGTCTCCCAGTGCCCCCGCTCCCCTGGGACAAAGTTAATGACAAAACCAGGCAGAGAACCCAGATCTCTGATGTGCTAGAGGCTTACCTTTTACATTAGTACATAGAGCTTCTCATCCAAATTGCATTGTATGTATACATTTAGCTAGGCCAAAAATAAAATATGGATAATGGCTATGTTTGATTAAAACAGTTGGGCAAGTGCAAATCATGATTAGCCATAAGTGTGAAAAAAAAAAAATCAAATATATTAATTTGCATGGGGAGCTAAGAATATGTGCCTGAAGGGAACAACTATACTACCAAAGTTGCCAGTATGGTGAAGCTATGCTAGCAATGGTTTTTACTTAAAAGAAAAAAATGGGAAAAAAAAAAAAAAGTGTACTGAACTTTGGGACAACTGTTTGGGTTATGAAGCACAGAAGGAGGAATACAATACCACTGCATATTTCAGAGCAATGGGAGCTGAATTTAGTATGTTAGTCGCAGCATTCTAGAAAAAGGAGAATGCCAGGAATTGACTACGTTAAGACAATAGTGTCTATCTGAAGTTGCAAAGCTCCCCAACCCAATATTCAGAGATTGTATGAAGAACAAATCTTTGTTCTGTCAGAAAACTTTTTATTAAAGAAGTTTAAAACTCCCAAAATGAGAAGTTTGACTTAGCCTTAAAAATGTATCGTTACCAATGTGCCACAGAGTGATTTACATTAAAGCCAGTAACAGATTAAGTTATTAGCATGAACATAATTAAATAATTGCTGTTACTTCCTATGCTGGAGTCTCAAAATTAGAGTTTTGGCCATTAAAATCTTCTTTAAAGCTCATACTGCACAAAAGCAGACTGTGATATGTAACATGAATATCATTTTTGGAACCACACACCAAGCACACCAGAAGTAAACAATTAGAGGTATCAACACTGATAAAAGCAAAATTGACACTATCAGCAATCAGCTTTTTTGGCTGATGTGGCCAATAACGTCACCAATAAATGCTGCATGCATGCGCGCAGCCTGGTAGCTTGGACAACAGCGTCCGGCTGGTAAGTCTGTGGGGAAAAAAGGGCCAGGGGGAGATAGGGGAGGGGCATTGTGGGGGCAGATTGAGGCCCTCGTAGTGAGGGAGGGAGTGGGGCTTGGGGCTGGGGCAGGTGCTGCCCCAGTTGGGGCAGGGCACAGGACAGAGCTGCAAGCAGCTTGTCCAGAGGCACGGGAAAGGAGGGTGAAGAGAGAGGCAGCTCCTGCCACAGGCATACCCCAGGGCAGGAAGGTGGGGCACGTACCCCCTGGATCTGTGCGTGGGGCTGCTGCTGTGAGCTGGGGCCAGAAGCAGCACTGGGCTCTTCCTGGAGGGAGGGGGCTGGGCTGGGGCTGCACACGGGGCAGGTGGTGGGGTGCTGGGAGGGGCGGGGGGTGGGATGCTAGGAGGGCTACAGTGAATTCTGGGATGGCCACAGCCCACTACGTAACTCCCCTCCCACCCCAGCCCCGCTACTGCTCATCCTGCATGCACACCCCCAGGAAGAGCTCAGTGCTGCTCCCGGGTCCAGCTCACAGCCGCAGTTCGCCCTCACCCTGCACACAAATTTGGGGGGCACATGTCTCTCTGTGCTTCCCCCCGTGTGCGCCAGCAATGGGAGCCACCCCTGCCTCCTCCCCCTCCACCACACAAGCCACTCACAGCTCCATCCCACGCCCTGCCCCACACCAGCTGGGCAGCGCCAAGCCCAGCCCCAAGCCTCACCCCTTCCCTCACTGTGGGGGATCTGCACCCCCCTGCCCCTTTTTCCCCCCACAGACTTACCAGTCGGTCATTGCTCTCCAAGCTGCTGGGATGCATACTGAATTGGTATTGGCTGATGTGGCTCGTTAATAATTGGCCATCGATATCAGCCCAAAAGATCTTTATTGTTACACCTCTAACAACAGTTAGACAGTATGGCATATTTACCAAGTGATGCAAGAATCTCCATGGTCCTCATTGTAGGCTGGATATAAAACCACAATTTCTGTAGTGACAGAAGGCCTTGTCTTTGGAGATGTTCCAGCTGGGTGATAAGGATCATGTACTCTTTGATGAGGGTTCTCATTGCTGCTGCCAAGGCATGATTTACTTGTCCATATTCAAAGGAAGATTTCTCCTCAATAAACCTGGGAGAAGCAGAATGAAATACTGTTTGCAAAGGCAGCAACTATATTTACAGGACAGTACAGAAACATGAAGGGAGAGCAGCAAGCTAGATGGTGCACTGTCTGCTTGAATTCAAGGCAGTTGTATGTTTCAAGGAAAAATATTAAGGCGTCACTGTAGCTCAAGTCTCCCTGGCAGTTTTTAGTATTTAAATAACCGAAGTTTTTAGTTTTCCCCTCTCCTGATGCCGTATGAAACACAGTAAAAATACCTCTAGGCTGCTAGAAGGGGCCCCCCAGCAGCCCCTGTCCCAGCTGGGCCGGAATGCAACGACTCCAATTCGTGAAGGTGGCAGCAGAGTGAATCCGGCCCTGGGGTGGGCAGGAGGAAAGAGGGGATGCTTGTAGAAACCCCCCACCCTCAGCTGGGGCTCCAGCGCTGTGCCAGGTGGCCTGGCCACACTCCCCACAGGCAGCATCTCCTGGCCAGCCCAGGCCCAAGAGCAAGGACACTGGCCTCTGTGCTGCTGGCCTGGCCATGGAGCTCCCTGCTGTCCTCAAAGTGCCCCCTGCCCCCTTCCCCCACTGGAGAAGCAGGTACCTGGCCACCACCCCGCCTGCCCTGGCACATTCCACCATCTAGACAGCTTCCCCCTGCACCAGCAGACACCCATCCTCCTCACACACCCATCCCCTCCCCGCCGGACAGTCCACAAGCATTGGCCCTCTACCCCCCCGCCCCAGACTTAGAAATCATAGAAAATTAGGGTTGGAAGGGATCTCAGGAGGTCGTCTAGTCCAACTTGCTGCTCAAAGCAGGACCAGCCCCAGCTAGATCATCCCAGCCAAAGCTTTGTCTAGCCAGGTCTTAAAGACCTCCAAGGAAGGCAATTCCACCACCTCTCTGGGTAACGTGTCCCAGTGTTTTACTACCCTCCAAGTGAGAACATTCTTCCTAAGATCTAACCTAAACTTCCCTTTCTGCAGCTTAAGACTGTTGCTCTTTGTTCAGTCATCTGCCATCACTAAGAACAGTCTAGCTCCATCCTCTCTTGAACCCCCGTTCAGGTAGCTGAAAGCTTCTATTAAATCACCTCTCAGTCTCCTCTTCTTTCAACTAAATTAGCCCAGGTCCCTCAGCCTGTCCTCAAAAGTCATGTGCCCCAGCCCCTTCACTGTTTTTGTTCCCCTCTGCTAGACTCTCTCCAATTCATCCACATCCTTTTCCAGCTGCCAGAACTGCTTCCACCACCCTGCCTGGCCATGTGCTGGCCACATGCATGTGCACCCTGCCTCCAATCACCCTCTCCCACTCCCAGCAGCGAAACAGAGCAAAATCCCAGACATTGGTTCAGATTTCAAAAAAAAAAAAAAAAAAAAAATGGCCTAGACAGAGATTGGAGGATCCAAAACCATATATACTCAATTCCCCCAGTGACCAGACTAAAGGGAGTACTGAGTAGTTATCCACTCATCTCAATCCCTCTAGTCAGAGCTCAGAGGAACACTCAGCTAGCAAACAATTCAAACTGCAGTGCTGGCCTCATCTAAGCACTGTTCCTGTAACAAGAAGCCCCTTCTTGCCTGCACCCCCCATTTTGTGCATTTCTTTATCCTTCTTAGTATTGGCAGAGATCTAGCACACTCATTGCATGGGCGTAGCAAGGCTCAGAGCAAGCCAGAAAGCTGAAGTGGCTTGCTGTAGGAGAAACCTACAAACTACATCTACATATCAATTGAGCTAAGTGTCACTAAAGAAAACAAAAGAACTAAAATATCCACTTCAAAGACTGCAAATATATCCTGGTGCTAACCTAACTCACTTACTGTCCCCAGTAGCCTTTGATTCTCACTACCTCACAGTGCATTTTTATATTTCATCTGTCTCAACTTTACCATGGCATTTTGTATTTTATATTTTAGACTTTAAAACCCTTAAGGAATGTACTGCCTGTAGAATGAAGTTACACCCTGGACCATCGTTAAAAACTGCATTGAAATTGTAAGTGTAAAGTGATAAAATATGATATATTGGACTGGTCCCCTAAGTGAATGGAGTATGTATAAGTCAACAGATAACTGAATGTTAGTTACAGGCAGTCCTCGACTTGCAACATTTTGAGTGACAATGTTTTGCACTTACGTTTATACACTGACACCCTATTTCAACTTTATGACATCAGTTTCAGCTTACAACGCTTAACCCGATGCCATGCCATGCCAGCGAACAAGTTCGCTGCATCGCTCATCTCCCTGGAGAACATCTGTCCAAACTTCCTTGGACACTTTCTTTAAGAAAGTAGACAAGACTCCAGAAAAACCTGTAGACAAGACTCCTGAGAAGACTCCAGCCAAGAACCCTTCAAAAAGTCCAATCAAGAACCTTACAAAAAATCCAGCAAAGTCACCTCAAAGAAGTCCTTCCAAATCAATATGATTGCTATTTACAATATAAATACATTCATGTAGCTATATTACTCACCTATAGTTGATGAGTACAAAATACCGGGTTATTTTTGGAGAAAATAGGGTATGGGACCTTGGTTCAGGAACCAATCCCACACTTATAACATTGTTTCTTATGAGAAAATTGGTTCCAAGTTGCAATGTTTCAACTTGTGGTTTTCAGGAACCAATTGTGTTGTAAACTGGAGGACTGCCTGTACTGGGAAGCATGAACAACCATCAGATGGCTACTAAGAAGCCACTTGTCAGGACATTTACACAGAAAGCTGTAATAATGCCTAAGGGTTAAAGGGTAACCTTTATGAGTTGGGGAACAAGGGTAACAATCTGGTTCTCTGACTTCCCTCTTGTGCCAGATATGGGACATAAGGAAGAACCAGTTCTTAAAAAAAGTGCTGGGACTGGACAGGTTGAAAACCATTATGATTGAAACTCCCCCCCCCACCCAGCTGGTGCTGGTATTGTTACAGCCCTAGGTGAGAGAGTTAAAAGCAAAATTCACTAGCCAAGATGCATGGGTCACTCACAAAGACATTCAAAAAGCAAGGATCTGTGATATAGAGAGAGGAAAAGGAAAAAGATCTAGGGAAGTGGGAAAACAGGCTGCGAGGCAGCTGTTACAGAGAAAGATGTGGAAAGTGTTTAGAAAGAGAGAAAAGAATAAGAGATTAATAGAGTTTGAATGTTAGATCAGGTAAGAGGAAAGAGTAAGAATAAAATTTTAGGAATTATTACTGTAGAGCAGGGAGTAACAAAAGTAGAGCCTAAGAAGTGGGCTGTAGTGCAGAGATTGTTGAGAAGCAGTGTTGTGTGTTTGCTGTGCCTGTGTTGCAAGACAGAGACTGCTAGAAGTGTAAAAGTGTACACTCTCATTCATAATGAGAGTGAGATGTATCCAGAAATAGCGTGGTTATAGTACAAGTATCCTAGAAAGAAAGGTGTTAGCAGCTGTTAAGGTTTTGCTGTGATTGAGTGAATGATTAGGGTTAACCCAGACAATTGAATGAAGGCATTTCATAAAGTTTGGGCAGAGAAAGAGGTTAAAATGTAACAAGATACAAGCATGTGTCTTAATTGAGGGACCAAACCCTCCCCCAACAATGCAGTATAAATATTCACTGAAAACTGAAATAGGATTATAGCTCTTAGTAAGAAGTTTGTTAAGTCAGGAAATGATAGTACAAATGCTTAGTGTGTACGACTCCCTGATTTGAAATTTGGTCTGCTCCGAAAGGCAAAGTACCCTGCAATTATAGTAGCTCCCCTATAGCAGGAGGGATAAAATGGTTTTCAGTATTAAATTTGGCTAATGCAGGTTTTATTTGTTTTGTTTTCTATCTCCTTGATATAAAAGTGCTGGTATAATTTTAAATGTATATTCAAGGAACAACAGTATTGTTTTACCCCAAGTATCCTAAAGATTTCACAATGCCCAGCAAAAAGAACAGGGCAAAAGCTTTCTAAGTAAAAATTCTGAGGGAGAAGTTGTCCCTCTAAAGCAGGGGTGGGCAAAATATGGCCCAAAGCCATTCTATCCGGCCCACGGGGCCCCTAAAAAATGTAGAAAGTTAATATTTCTCTGCCCTTGGTTCGTGTAAAAAATGACAGGAACCATGGACAGTAGGACCCAGGGGAAGCCCAGTGGGCTCCAACAACAGTGAGGCCTGCCCGGCCCGGCCCTGCCCCCCCTTGCCGGTTTCTGGCCTAGAAGCATGCATGCCCCGTGCTGGAACTGCAGGTAAGTGTGGGGGAGAAGGGCGGGAGGGACCCCAGGCAGGGA